AAAAAAAAAAAAAAAAAAAAAAAAAAAAAAAAAAACCTCTATTGCAAAGTCAAACCTTTCTGCATATCCAGTTTAAGAGGCGAAATGGGGCAATCCAGCATTTGGGAGATAGGGAGACTTTAAGTGGTTATGTGAAAACCGCAAATATACACGACAAGAGATATGCAGAGGGACAGAACGAGAGCTAAAGAGCCAAAGGAACGAGTGAAAGAGCAGTTAACAAAACTGCAGAAAAGAGGCACAAGGAGAAACAAAGGAGGAGGCAATGAGACAGTTGAATGAGTCAGGTTTATCTGAGCCAGGAGCCGCAGACATGAAGAGTGGGTGACGACAAATCCTCTAAGATAGAGAGTCAAAGTCTTTTTTAATTGTGATGAAATTATAGCACTGCTAATCCCTGGCCTGTGCTTTTGTGCATTTTTTACCTGGATTAAAAGTAGGATTATACAGCAGGCACTCTTCTCTTTTTTATTATAATTTTGTTTTAAAGGCTTAGTGTGCCCTAAAGCTGCCTGCTCTGTTCACGCTGTTAACATGTCAATGACGTCCCTCTTCATCAAACATCAGAACTTAAAGGAATACTTCATGAAAAATTCTGCCACAATTGACTTCATGTCGCTCCAAACCATTTGAATTTTGTGGAACACAACAGGAGTCAGTTTAAAGAAAGTGCTAGTTGTGTTTTCCACACAATCAAAACCGGTTTTCCAGCTCAAAATGTGCATTAAAGTAGTTTGGTGCTAGTTTAAAAAGATTGATAAAACTGTGTTTTTGTGAAGAATAAACTGAATGGTATACATTCATATGAGATGAAGACTCGAGAAAAAAAAATAGTATGGGGCAGATCATCCCGCTTAATGCATTTCGCCATGCTGAAATGGTGTGAGCCATGGTATTTCACTAAACATAGAAGAGACTGCTCACACTCAAACACTGCCGGCTTTGTAAAAACACTAGCAGTGTAATAAAGCAAATAAACAAAGGTTTGAAACAAGACGACAAAGACAAAACTTGTATAAAAAGTATAGCCCAAGATGAAAAGATTTACTGATGGAAAAATGAGATGCTCAAGGAAGCTCTTTTTTTGTTGGACAGGTAAGGGAATTGTTGTGTAAACCCCTCTCTAAAACTCACCAAGATCAGTGTAAATTACATAAAACTTAAGAGACAATCATCCTGATCCACTTTGACAGATGGCAGTGCAGCATCTAACACCATTGCGATTTCGGTACATAAAAGTGCATTCAGCAGTTTGTTTTTTTTAGCAAGCGTTTGCATCGTTCTTCTTTGTGTACTTTAAAATGGATATAAAAGTACCACAGAAATAAAACCCCATATGACTCGTGTGTAAAGCCTTCTGCACCATACAGTAGTTTTGTGTAAGGAACAGACTAAAACTGAAGGTATGCACAAAAAAAGCAAGTAAAGACAGACATGGAAAATTAGAAAGTGACAGAACTCACCGTACTAGATTCCCGCTCTTTATCCAAGGGAGAATGAAATCGTTGTTAAAAGAAAGAGATAAAGATAAACACCAAGTCAGCATTTACATTTATTTTCTTACAAAAGCATGAGCATACCACTTCAGGGCATTTGTTTTTGTTTTCTCTTCAGTGCCTACATGCATTACCTCTGTGCTCCAGGTCATGATGGTTCTTCTCGTCTTTGACTGGCAGGTGCGCCTGGCTACCCAGAGCTCCCAGCGCCAGCAGACCTGACCCTGAGCCTGGGACTGGAGGGATGCCTGGGGGCTGCAACTGAGGGGGCAGCTGGACCGGGGGTCCGTGGGCAGCATGAGAAAGGTGTTGAGCCTGGAGCTGCTGCTGCTGTCAACACACACATGTACATCAAGTGGGTCAGAGGGAAAAGGCATATGGACAGCAAACACTGAATAAAGGTGACTGGTTAAGCCCCTCTCTCACAGGATGCACAGAAAGGAACACTGGCACCCTAACACCTCCATTAGTGGCTGGATCAAAGCAGGACACTCTTCACAAGGACATGTCCTCCTTGAGCTCAGCAGGAACAGCTCACTCCAACACATACTACATATTTCTAAGCATGCACTGCTCTTAACAAACTATACTACTTAACATGCATCCTTTTACAACAAACCAGAAATACACAAAACTTTGACTAATTACACGAGCTTTAAACAGGATTTAAACACACTCCTATCCTATGCAATCAAGAAGCACTATTAAAATGAGGGTGCATGAGTCAAAATGTACATACTAATATATATATATATATATATATATATATATATATATATATATATATAGACAGACATATATACACATACACAAGCAGTCAAGTGAGTTAAGCAAAATGTATGTAAACATCAAATGAGCGGCATTCACTAGTCACCTCACAGCCCGTAATATTTCAGAGAGTTTACACATAGGTCCATGGTTACCATCTCCTAGGCTAAGCCACTCCTCCATGCCTCCTTAACAACAGCCAATAATACAAGCCATTCTATGTTAGTGTTAATTTAATAGTCAGTAACATGTGGCATCAAAGCAGTGGCTGTTAACGGTGGTGATAATGCAACTGATAAGATCAGGTGAATGTCGGTTGCATTGTGTGATTTTGGTCTCATCTGAATCAAACATTGTTGTTTTTTTATTGTCTGTAAAAAAATATATATATTTTGGTCTTCATCTAATACTACAATTAAAGCTACATTTCTCATTGTGCTGCCTTCATTTTGGATTTAGACCTTTTGGGTAAAATATCAGAATCCCTTTTGATGTGAAAAGGATTTAATAGGAGTCCAATCACATACTGCTCAGAACAGCCACTGTGGTGGCAGGATTAGGTATAATTTTCACCTTATTTCCCACAATTGTACACAGTAATTATATAATTTATCACCACACCAATTTTGCTGGATTAACTGTTCTGTGACACATACATCCAAAGCAAAGACCTTTGCAAATCTACATTAGACAGGCTTTCCCACATTAGTAATAACTGCAAAACCCCAAATCAGTCCACAAACTAATGCAGTTCATACAGTGCTTAAAAACATTTCCGATAAAAAGCTGACATACACTATCATTCAAAAGAGGTCAATATGATTTTATTTCTTTAAAATAGGGCTGAACGATTTTGGAAAATAATCTAATTGCGATTTTTTTTTTTTTTTACCAATATTGCGATTTAATATGCAATTATTTTTTTTAAAGCTCTTTATGTTCTGTATTATTAAACAAAGACAAGCTATAAATCATTGTATAGTATGACCAACACAATATTAGATAGATTAAACATAAATGTTATTTTCTGTAGGCCAGGCCTATATATTAGGTGATGCATGAATTGATATGAATTGACATTTTTATTTAACAACTACAATCACAGTACATTGACTGATTTGTTGAACTTCCAACCTTGTAAGCATGTAATAATTATGTTTAAATAAGCCTGGTGTAAACATTAATATGAAAGTCAAAACAAATCTGTTGCTTTACCACACTACTTTGGGTAATTCAAAGTCACTGTAATAAACATATGTAAACATGTGCACTTTTTAAACACTGTCTGTTAACTGTAGACCAGTGGTTCTCAAACTTATTTGGTTGCGTCCCCCTTAAACCTACAAAATAAATCTGCCACCCTTTCCCGAATCCCCATCCCACCTCAGACTACCAAATAATTTCACTAAACATTATGAAAAATTAATGCTTTTTTAATTTAAAAAAACCTACAGGGAAAAAAAAAAACACCTGCATCACTTGAAACATTGAAAAATAGCATAGAGAGAATAACTGTTCTTATTATTATTGTCTGTTATTTATTTATTTTTTGTGGGTTTCATGCTGTCCGCTAAGGCATAGGACACACACACAGGCTTTCCTCACCAATGACATTAATCACGTGTCTACACTTTACACAAGCGGCAAAATTGTACATAACTGTAGCGCCCGGTAACGTTATAGACACAGTGAGTGAAGCCGAGAGCAAGATATGCCTCGTCATATTTTCTGCATTTAGCTTTTAAATGACCAGCAGCTGCCTGGGTCTGTGCGACTTCATCTATGGCTTTTCTCTTCCCTTTCACAACCCGATCCATCTCCCATTCTAAGTTACGTCCTTTGGCTGTTTACCGTTTTATTTATTTTATTTTTCTGCTGATGGCCCGCGCTCGACTTGAAGCAGCGCTGCTAAGACCGATGGGTGTGTGTCATCAAAGTACTGCGGGAGCTATAAGAGAGCGCGGACGTCTCCTTATGCTTTCTCTCGCCGTACTTTTATGACATACACCGATCGGTCTTCAAATTGAACACACCTCTTTACTCTCGCGTGTCACGTGACCGTGTAAATGCAGCCTCTGCGATTGAAAAATCGTGTTATTTCATATTGCGATATCATCGCAAATGCAATTAATCGTTCAGCCCCACTTTAAAATGCTCAAAAGTGACAGTAAAGAGGTTTATACATGTTATTTCAAATAAACTAAATTTCAATTCAAGTTCATTTTTACATACAATAAGAAATCAGCAAATTAGAATGATTACTGAAGGATCATGTGACACTGAAGACAAATCCAGCTTTGCCATTACAGGAATAAACTACATTTTAAAATGTATTAAAATAAGTTATTGGAAATATATTTCACAATATTTTACTGCATTTTTGATCAAATAAATGCAGTCTTGGTGAGCACAAGAGGGATTTTAAAAAACAAAAACAAAAAGCACAGTAGTGCATGTATAGGAGTCGTGAACGGGTAATTGCAAATAATTTAATTTATTTTATATGCAGAAATTTAGCTCTAAATACATAAACGTTCTCATGCAAATGTAGCACATTTAGTTTTAATGCATTCAGTTCAAGAAATCAAAATATGTATCAAATACTTTTCTTGATGTCTCAGCAGACTTGCAGTGGTCATCTCAACAATGTAAACTGGGATCATAAATATATAATATACATTTCTAAACCTAGGTGAAAAAGCACTACTATTCTCCCAGTAAGCAGCCATTGCTTTGACACCAACGACTAAAGGAAGCACAACGCAGAACAAACACACTAGATAAAACAGAGAAGCGTTAGGGTCTAAAGAATGTTGGGGTCTCAACTTCACTTCAAAAACCCAAATATAACATACACAGAGGTTGTTTTTAGCACTGACCATCAGAGCAGGGTAGACAGCATGATGCTGCTGTTGATGAGAGAAAAGAGATGAGCATGTCATTACACGCTCACTCATGAATAACACATCACTACTTCACAAATCCACCCAAGCACATGAATGCTTACCAACACTATTTCAGCAACTAAGGGTGTGTTCACACTTGTCATGTTTGGTTCGATTAAAACTAACCCTGGTGCGATTGCTCTGTTAGTGCGGTTCCTTTTGAGTAAGTGTGAACGCTGCCATCCGAACCCTGGTGTGCACCAAACAAGCGGAGTGAGACTGCTAAAAAGATGGGTCTCGGTCCGCTTCCAAACGAACTCTGGTGCGGTTCGAATGTGTGAACGCAACACAGACCAAATACTCCTAAACTAACCAAAAACAGGAAGTAATGACAAGATGCGACGCTGAGGTAAAGTGCCTTTTATGAGCTCCTTGTGAGTTTGCAGGTGGCGAAAATAAAATTATATGTACATGCAAGAATGAGCGCGCTTAGTCTAGCAGACAGCATTATGCGTGTTCGACTTAAAGCGGCACTGAGCAGACCGATCGGTTAATGGATGCTTTGAAATCATACACCCGCAGCACCGCTTTAAGTCTAACGCACCTTTTGTTTGGGGTGTTCGGTAAGTTCAGTCACGATATATACGTCATTCAAGCCGACCAATCAGGTTGTAAACGTATCACTATGCCTTTAGGTTTGGTGTCTTTAGGTTCGGTGTCAAAAATGCCAATGTGAACGCTAAGCAGACCAGGACCAAATGTATCATTTTCCTTTTTGGTCCGGACCAAATGAACCGGACTACAAGTGTGAACACACCCTAAGGGTGCTTTTGTATTTAAATGTGTGTTTCTAACCTTACCACAGTGCTGAACACCCTTAAACATCCTAGAAAGACACACTGGTCCTTATTAGTCTTCTGCTAATAGCATAATAGTATCAAATATATATTGTTGGGTATCAAGAACTGGTTCCAAATTTCCAAGAACCACGGATTCGATAAGACACGTGCATTTCAATTCCGCTTAACGATTAAAACATTCACATTTTAATGTGATTTTAAGTCATTTAAGCGCAAGAATAGAAAGAACTTGCACACTGTTTTGCATGATGCGCTCACATCTGAAGCGTGAGCACAGAGAACCATGGTCTCAGTGGCCTATGTCCATTCTCAAACCATTCTGTGCATTTCCACAGCAGAAAAGGTAGTTCTGGGCCGCAACTGACTTCTTGTTCACCTCTTGTGACCAATATGCACAAAATTACGTCAGTAGAACCTTGTAAGCACAGCCATTTTTTTGTGACTGTAAACAGATGAGAAAGAAAGTGCATGTGTAAGCAGCCTAATAAACATGTGCTGCCTGTCATTAATGTTAATTAAAGAACAGAAGAAAATCATTCACTGTTCTTGATTGAATATCGGAATCGATAAGCAGAATTGGAATCTATAAAATTCAAATCATACCCAACCCTACAAATATAACTGGCTAAACATTTGCCTTTATCATTATAAGTCACGTTTTGAGTCCGACCGAAGCCATTTAAGCTGCTAGTGTGAAATCTGAAATGCAAATGAACAGAAACAGTATGCAAAATTAGTCTGGTGCTCTATATCTAAACAAATGGCAAACGTCTGCCGCTGAAGTTTTACCTAAAACATGAGCATTAAAATTCACTCCGACTTCTACATTAAAACCATTTATAATTTTTTTTTTATGACATTAAGGTCCAGTTTGGCTTTATCACACCTGTATTAATATCCATCTCAAGTGGTGAGGCAAGACAGATCATACTTGCTTATAACCTAGTCTTTTTATATAAATGGAAAAAAAGGAGTTTAAATATTTTTTAATACCCATGAATTCAACTAAGATGACGTTTAATATAGGTGTAAATGGCTAAGACTTCTCATAATCGGGTCTTGAAGTGTGAGTTCACCTCTGCCATTCTAAGTCTGTATGCATATTAGGGCTGCACGACATGGGGAGAAAAATAATTGAATTGTAATTTCTGATTATAATTTAAATCAGTTTACAATTTAAAGAATTATGCTAATAAAAATAATACTACTACTAAATTATTTTGAATACTGCTAAATTAAATTTAAAAAAATAAATATTATTGTAATATTACTACTATTAATATTACTTTGACAAATTATAGCCCTAACATAAATATGTAAGTATATGTTACTCATACGGTTGCTTTTTTTTTGGCACAGCTATAGCATCATCAACATAGAAACCTCATCTGCAGTAACTTATTAGCAAAACCACAGACATGTACAACACTGCCACTTTAACAGGTCGGTGGTACCGCAGACTAAAGGTTTCATGGGCGTCTCTCTTCTCTTGCTAACACACTTATTTGCCTCTACCCATCCCTGTGTACATCACTCCCTCTCACAATGTCTCTCTTCTTTCACAATCTTCCTTCTCCTCTCTTTCTCTCTCTCTCTCTCTCTCTCTGTGTGTGCCAAACGCTGCTGGCTCCTGATTAACAGTGAATCTTTAATGACCCCCCCTCCCCCTCTCAGTCAGGGCACAGATTGATCTCCTGCCATCTCACCAGCCAACAAATAAAAGCTTTTTTTTTTTTTTCCCCAAGCCTGTGAGGATGTGCGTGAGAGTGTGTGTTAATTCCCGCAACAGTGTGGCAAGTGTCTGCCTGACTACATCTATTTATCCACCATCATGATGACCATGTGACTGCTAAGTGTGTATGCGTGAGCAGAAGCAACAAGCCCTGCCCCCATGCCTCCCCACCTCTCGCCAAGCTGCTCTGCTGAATGGCTAGCTGTTAAATGATGGAGCCCGTCGACAGTTGCATTCAGGCAGATTCGAGGAAGCAATTACCTTGAAAACAGGGGTCAGAGTCTTGGCTCATTTCCCTAAACTCAATTCCAATATCTGGCTCTGGCTGTCCTGACCCAGCTCAGGACCTCCTACCCACAAGCCAAACCCAGGCTAATCAAAGTTGGATAGCCACACTCACCACAGGAGACACACCAAGTACTTTTACATCCAATAAAAGTTTGATTTTAATTATTGAGTCAAATCTACCAAGTAAAATCTAACACCATTTTTTTGTCAAATGAAAAGGAAATGGTTTAAGGGCTTATTGACACCAAGGACGATAATTATCCACCTTATATTGAAACACAAAAGCAAACTATTTTCTGTGAATGTGCAAGACTTCTGGATTATTAACCGCTATAAGTAACCAGAAAAAAATAACAGTGCAGTAAACCGTAAAACTATTTGTACTACATACCAGTGTGTCCATCATTACAATGATATATTCAAATACTATGACAAATACAAGTATGTAAAATCAAGCAGCATAACGGACTGGTTTTAATAAATAATTGTATCAATTGTTGGTGTGGGCACTAATATTACTTTTGTTATGGTTATCTTTAAAGTTATGGTTTTTGGTGTAAATGGGACTTTAGTCGAGCTGAAATCCCACTAGCTTGGTTTTACCTAGATAATGTGATTGTAGCTTGTCTTCAACAAGCATTGTGTGCTTGCTCTGAAGGACACAAGTGACACAGTGTGCATTTTAATCCTTCAAACAATACACACTGTGATTATTTGGACAGAAAGGTATAACTGCACATGTAAGAGTACTTCTGCTTTTGGTCTACTAACCTACAGAAATGCATAATTTAGATAAAACACTGCATAAAATGATCTCCGGATTAGAATCAAACACACAGCCTGATATAAGGGCTTTTCACACTTAACCACAGTTAACCCTGGGTCATTCTAAACCCCGGGGAAATGGAATCCTGGATTATCTTAATTCAGGTTTCATGATCATGATCATGATCCTGCTCATACTTTATCCAAGGTTAGCAATTAGTCCTGGGTATTCATATGTTGACATTAAACAGAGTACATTCCTAAACCCCAGGTTAACGTTCTTATTTGCCGTGTCAGTGTCTTTGATTGGATGACCACAGCATGCAACATCTTTACCGACATCCTCATCTTATATGTTGACAACTGTACTATAAGATTTCCAGAATGAGGTTTACAGATCATAAAAGGTAAGAATGAAACTTTTTCCATTCCAATTCACACGTTTATCACCATCTTACATTTTCCCACTCAAACAGTGCAACAACTGTGCAAAGCACGGTAATATGAGGTACACGATTGGTTGTCTGTTGCTAAGAATCTAGCCATAACATTCTAACACAGCATCGAAATGTTTGTGTTGCCCAAGTCAATAGGAAGCTTCTCAATGGTCCTTAACACAAGCTCTTTAAAGTAACATGGCTAATCACAGACAACCCTGACAGAATTAGACTTCTCCCTTTGTGTGATCAAAACGAGAGCTTAACTACACAAGCCTTAACATGTTTCTCTCCACATGCCTCTCAAACCCTGTGACAAATAGACAGAGAAGCACTACAGGCACGAATTAACTCAAAAGATCCAAGCGGCACACAGCGACGAGACAAAAACAATGGCATAAAAAAAAGCAAACATCATGGTGTAAATACATGGCATTGCAAATTAAACAGTCAAATCCGACCATGAAGGACAGGGGCAAATCTGCAGCAGGAAGCTGATGGGTCTAAGACACACCAACCATCCTGATCTCCTCCCAGAACACAAGTATAAACGTCCCTAGCAATCACGGATTTGCCCTTGGACTGTTTTAAGAGCTGCTGAGGTGATATGCGTTGGATTACAGCTGATGTACCACCTTTGACCCAAACCCCGCCTGTGGGAGTAGGCCAGTTTACCATCTTTAAGAGCAAATATGATCTTTATTACTACATTCTATAAATCCAATTGTCATTTAGGAGCCAGGCATGAATGCATTAGTACACCGAGCTGCATGAGTGCAGATTTGTCCCTGGCCCTGGCCAAATGAAGAAGAAAGAGGGGTATACACACGGTGAGAGGCAGATTGGGAAGTCCACGTACCCCGATGATGGCATTCAACTCGGTCATTGTCACTTGCTTAGCACGTTCAACAGCCTGTGCAACCTGCTGTTGGTGCTGGAGGAAAGAGAAAAGACAGATCAATACACAGAAAATTAGCATGGGCTCATTTTATGAAAGGAAATTAAGAATATTTACCTCTTGTGACAAAAAAGGCATGATTTGAGCAAGAATTGCATTTAGACGTTTGGCAATCTCAGTCTAAACGAGAAAAACAGAGACATACAAACAGTACGGTTATTAAATGTTGTCAGCACTTCCCCAATCACTCAAATGTATTTAATTCACGTTACTTTCACATTGCTGAATGCTCTAAACAAGCCTCTGCACATCTAAACGAGGCATGATGGGATACCGCCAGAACTCCTGATAAATGAAGTCAAATCTTCAGAAATGTCTGTCTTTGCTGATGTTGCCATGTGTATGATTCGGTGCATAATGAACATGAGGCTCTTTGAGCGCTGATATGGTGTGTGTGGCTCAAAAAGCCAAACAGCGCTCCAGCACACTGCTACTGAAACAGATCTGGCCAAATCAACAGCTCTGCCAGGCCAAGATGGGCAGAAGGCCTGCGGTGCCCATCTGGCCAAGAGATGGAGAGAGGGAAGGAGGGATAAGGGGGGGGTTGTCTGGCCTCAACCACCCCACCCCCTCATTACCCAGACAGATTATTTCATTAAGATGCTGAAATATGCTAATGCTAATTTGGTGCTGGGAGATTAACGATGGCAATACTGAGCAATTACCATTTTCCCCCATGCTCCCATTCCAGCAGCACAGGAGGCGAGGAACCAGAGCCCAACAGCAATATTCAAAATGACTTTTATAGATATGGAGAGACGGACAGGGTAATCAGCCAACATACTCTGGTTCTCCTGCATTACTCATGGCAACCTGAAGCCCCAAAGGGCTATATTTCATCATGAGCTATGCTAACGCTTCAGGATGAAAAGAAGAGAAGGGAAAGGAAAGTGTGAGCGAGGGGGGAGAGGAAGTATGGGGCGGTGAACAAATTGATTATAGGTTGGAGCAGATGGCCCAGCAGGTGAGGGAGGAGAGAAATTTCTCTTTCGTTCCTGCAAGCCACATTCCGTTCATTTTTTGGCCTGTGGGAGGGTGCTGACCCTGGCACTCTGATGGACTCTCTTTAGAGTGGATGTGTTCTGACCTGTGATGAACTGTCTCTAGGGACGTGAACAAAGGATCTAAGCACTCTCCACACCCCTTCAGAGTCATTGAGCTATTAATGCTTTTTCAGCCCGGCTTTGCTACACAAACACATACTCCTTCGCAAAACAAACACATACAATAACAATAATCAGTTGGTATCAAACCAAAACAAGGAAATATTGAAATGCATTGCCTGCTCTCATACGTAAGCCATAAACTGAGGTTCATTTTCCTCACTCACTTCATCAGTTCACCCCCCTCCCCTTGGCTTCCATTCCTGTATGACACTCTAAGGTTACCACAGCAACCGGTCCGCCCCTATCTCTCCCTCAGATCATTATGTAAATTGGAGCTCTGCTTGACCACAACAGGCAGTAAAATCATATTACGCGCACAGGGGCAGGTCATTAAATTGAATTTTCAGCCTGTCGATCAGATCAACTCTGCAAATTAATGTGGGATGAAAGGGGACAGATGGGTGAGGGAGAGTAACGGCTTCTCTTTCATGGGTGGGGTGAAGTGTGTGTGTGCGCGTTAAGAGAGGGAAGATTGGGAAACATTACCCATATGCCCGAGCCAAAAAACCCTGGTGACTGACGGAGAAGTTATTCTACAATAATTATCAGAAATGACTTTTCCAGTGATATACGGCATACATGACTTGTTAGTACACAACACACCATGCACCACAGTATCTAAATAAACAGAGCAGGAAGCAAAACAGCTTCCTGTTGTGATGCTGGCTTGAAATCAAAGAACGCGACTTGTGGTAAAAATATCTACATTTATATTCATAAAAAATAAACACTAAGCAAGATATGATACAAGGGGGAATATCATAAAAACAAAAATGTCTATGCATCATGATCCTACAAAATTGCTTTCTTTTAAGATTTTTTCATTGTGACAATCTCATTTTATCCTCTAATCTCATAATGTTACACAAAATACTATACTTATAGTAGAAAAAAAGACAATAATGAGAATCAATTTAAAGATAATAAAAAGAAGTAACAAATTGAGGGGAAAATTCATGAAACTGCCACAATGCAAATAATCTTTTTTCTTTCTTTTAATTTTTTTGTGACCTGGACATGTTTTTATGATATTCACTCTTGATAGACTCCATAAAACAAGCCAAAAGGATTTTAATCAGAATCACTTTATACAAACTAACCCACAAAATACATTACCCTCAGATTAAACCACTGCACCATGGGATAAAAACAGGAAGTGTGGTATTGCTGAGTTCCAGAGGCGTGCTGTAAGCTACTAGAACAGCTCCCACACAGGCTGATAAAAAAAATAGGGCACAGGGAGTGAAAACAAGGCCCTTCAACAGAGAGAGGCTTTCTGCTGCTTCACCATCCCAGGTGCTCCGTGCTGTCAAGCAGCGTGTGAAGAGCTCTCACGCACAGCCCTGTCAATGGTACGCCAGAAGCCATTTACCTGTTGCTGTGGGTACGAGCTGAGTGCTGGGAGACACTGATGAGGATAAAATACGCTGCAAAACAACTGCACACTGAAGGAGAGCCACTCAGTGACAAATGAACACGCATACAGACCATTGCACTCTCTCTCCGTGACTCAATGAGCAATTACAGACAAGAGGGAGAGAAATAGGGAGTGAGTTTGTAAAGTTGAACTTACATTTACATGCTCACTCAAACAAAAAAAGTCACATATATACATTCTGATGACAGATGAAGCTATCTTCACAGATAAGACGTTAACAAATAAACCAAAGCACTCAGTGGCATTCACACACATGAGCTCATTCCTTCCTGCCTGACACAGGCTCCTCTAAACCTGGGCTTCCCTCGGGCTGAAAGGCTGCATTGAGCAGCAGCCGTCTGCACAGGCTGTCTCGGTCTTCCCCTCGCTGCATATGCAGCACAAATCCTGTTGGAACTGTTTAATGATGTTTGTGTCTCTTTGTGCATTCATCTGCTAAAGCTGGACAAAGGACACAGACACAACCACCTGGTTCATTGCACTGGGCTGAGAGACAGATGTGACCCAAACTTCACACGAGAAGGGCTGGGCAAATAAAATGCCCAGATTTTTCGATTAATCGTTTTTTTGAAATGACGTTGATTTGATATCGATTCTCAAATGCCGCGAATCGATCTTTTCCCGTATTTATTTCAGCACACATTTAAAACGAGATCTGATTAACGTGAATCTTATAAAGGGCTGTGCGATTAATCGAAATCAAACCAAAATTGCAATTTGAGACGTTGCCATTTGCTAATCGCAAAGCCTGCGATGTGGACGCGATATTACTCTGTTCCAGAGCATATGCATGACTGCCAGCCTTGAGCTGCAGTCTTACTTGCCCTGGGCAAGAGTGAGCGCACCTCTGTTCTCCCCAATCAGCACTGCTCTAGCCAACTGCGTAAACACCCACCATTAATAAAAAAAAATTTAAAAAGGCGGGATGGGAGAGAGAGAGACAGAGTGGGATTATGGCGTCTACTGGGTCAGATCGATAGTTAGACAAATTAAAACTAAAGAAAAACGTATGCAACTTAAGCTTCGAAATGACAGACAACGAACAAAAAAAGGTTATTTGCAAGAGCTGCGTGAATGGATTTCAGGGTTATAATGGGAATTGTATTGGTTTTAATGTAAACTATAATGGTGTCTATTTGATGGATTCTATTGGTGGGATGTAATCTGGCAGATGGCAACCAATAGAACAACAGTAATTCCTATTGGAATAATGCCCAAAACAAAAAGGAATTTTGTAATGGTTTAATGGAAACTATAAGAATTTCTGTGATGGTTTCTATTGGTTTTTTCAGCAGGGTAATGATACCCATACTGTGCTACACATTATTGCCAATATTGAGCTGAAGCTTGACTTTGCAAATTTAAAAATCGCAAATCAAATTGCAATCTCCGTCAAAAAAAATCGCATTGATATTTTCCCCCAAATCGCACAGCCCTAATCTTATCACTAGTCTTCTCCACTAGATGTCACCCCTATTTACCTTGCGATGTTGCATTCATTATTCATTCATGCAGTCATTCATTCAGCGCTTATCATGGCCATACGCGTGATTCGTAATGCTCAGGTGAAATGCTATGGAAATACTATAAATCTGCGGAAGCATTTAATATCACGCATAAGGCGCCATGATTTCCGCAATGAATGAAGGTCATGGTGGACCGCATTGTTTTGTTTACTACACACATACTAAAGCGCGGGTGACGCTCGCGGTGTTTTCAGCTTCTGCCATCTCACTATATGATGATATGAACACGAATGTCATCTCCAGCTGCTCTGAGAGTCACTTCATTAGCATTTTACCGTTTCACTTGAGAAAACTACCATCATATCACATACACAGCAGCTGCAAGTTCTTCACGGCAACCCCTCAAAATAAACGTTTAGTTTAACTTTAAGAAACTAAGAATATTTTACTATTTAGCAGTCTTAAGACTCAATGCTACTACTGCTAATAAATATTAATAAATCTTTATTTTTAAAGGAATAATCACATCTGTTTTCTTTTTAATTTGAACAGTAATCCTCTGTTGTGCAGCACTTTGTTTGCCAAAAAATAAAAGGGTTTAATTTTAATTTGATTAGGATAAATTAAATTAATGTTTTATGCCTTCATCTGATTACCAGAAAAATTAAGAACATTTTATAGGGCCCTATTATTGTTTAAAAAAGGACCCTATACAAAAAATGAATAGGTTTAAAATGCAGGCATGTGGTTCTTAATTTCATTTTATTAATTCACCATTTGTAAACTGATGTTTACAGTAAATTTTTTTTAAATATCAATAGCGCTTGTATTAAAACTATATTCACTGAATGTAATCAAAAAAATCGAGAATCGAATGCTTACGAATCGAAATCAAATCGGGACATCTGATTCGATACCCAGCCCTACACATAAGCACACGTACCTATATTCAACACTGAATATACAATGTGGCAAGCAGCTTAAAATGTCCTGTAGGCTTGAATTTAATTGCACATTGCGGTCCAAAAACACAACACTTTATTCAATGTAGCTTTTTTCAGGAGGACAAATAGATTAATCGCTCAGTATTAAACACTTTTTAATTCATCAGTACTGGTTTATATTTAAAACATATGCATGTTGGCTGATACTGAATATTTAACCAAGTGATTTAAAAAAAAAATGCTCACTTAAAGTTAATTCTTAAAAGCATTATTCAATAAACAGTTAAAATAATTAATCAAATGCAAAAATTATTTTATTTATATTTATTTTATTATTTATAATAAACATCTACTTTGCATAATGAAAATTTTAATAATAACGTTTAATATCAGGCATTACATGAAAAAAAGGCTTACTGGCGCATCCCTAAAAAGTAAATGTATTGTAAAATAAATAAAAATACAACCCACACCCATTAACCCTTATTAACTCAAACAAACTGCGTTTCAAACTACACTGTAAAGAATTGCTGTAATTTTTACAGTAAATATTTACAATAGACCACTCTATTTTGCTGTAATTTTTACAGTAAATATTTACAATAGACCACTGTATTTTGAAATTTACAGCATTACTGTATTTTGCTATGAATTGTGGGAACATGCTAAATAATTGCTGTAAATTTTACAGTAGTATCTAAGAATGTTTTTGCATTTTCCTATATATTCTGGGAACATGATTATGCTGTAAATGCTACAGGAGATCATGTATACATATATTCTTTTTTTATAGAAGAAAACTGTTGCACAAGTTTTGAAATCCAGTTTTGGTACTCAGTCAACTATAATAAATACAGCCTTTTTAACTAATTATTTACACCATGTTGACTCTGACATATGATTATATACTATAGATTGCTTTAAAAACACACATGATTAGGCAACTACATCGGCGTAGCGCGTGCGTGTGATGTCATTTCGTCATCAGCAGCGGACAGCTTGCGACATTTAGCACTCTTCAATTTTCGCGCTCAACTCCTGCACGCTACGATATAGAAGTTGGCAACACTTTATGTTAATATCACTTATAAGGGTGCATGGAGTCATATTAGTACTTTAGTTGTTCATTAGAAAGTACATTGGAAATTGCTGTGCACAGTGGATGTTGTCAGTCGAAAGGGAAGTTGTCTTTGGCCCATGTTCAGAGGCATTTGTTGAGGGCCTGGCAGCATTGTTTGCAACCTATTACAACTTAAACCTTGCTTATCAGGATGAAGCTGCATGCACCCTCAAAATTATTCAGAGGTATGTCAGAACATAAACTCTTACTTAATATTTATTGTAGACATCCAAATTTCCATTACTTTTTTTAGGTTTACCGGTTTGGATGGCTTATCAGGATTAGATGTTTTTTGTAAAAGTTTTCAAACAGCAAAAAAATGCTGACTGCGCACTGAATTGAGTACATACAACCAAAGTCCAGCAAAAATATTTTATTAAAAAAAAATCTATTACAAAATATGCAAACAAATATAAAACTATACAAACAATGCAGAACCAAAAAAAAAAAAAAAGAGTATATAAATAACAAAAATAAAGTCAATATAATAAGATAAATAAAAGAAATAATTATATAATTTAATAAAACTAATTATTTGTCTCACCTTTTTGCAGCATGTCGCAGCCATCAAAATCGATTTATTTTCAATAAATACAATTAACTTGGTCAGTGAAACTATTGGAAATATTTTCTTTGGCCCTAACTCTTCAATAAATGAAATAAGGAAAATGTGATTTTTAAAATGACACTTAAATTAATTATATTCTTTGAGTATATGCAGTTTTTATTTTTATTTTATTAAATCTGATGTGTTTTTTTTCACAGAGGAATTGTGGGCATTAACCTGGAAACTGGATCAAAAGTTGCTGGAAAGAGAGACAAAAAAATGAAAGTAATGAACCCACATGCATGCACACTGCTGCGGAAGCTAGTGGACTTTGAATGGCTTGCCATTTAAAAGAAAAAAAGTGTTCCAATGGAATAGTTAATGTACATGCAATGTCTTGCCCCTTCATGGATTTGGCAATTTAAAGGTAGGCACAGTTCAGACCCTTTCTTTTGTGTTTATTTAAACTAAGTTTATGAATGAAGTTCAGTCCCACTGTAGGGATGTTTTTTTTTCTTTTTTCCCCCCCAAGGCTAAAGCCTTTGGTTTAATGTGCAATCTCCATTTTTGTGTCTCCAAATATGATTTGGAAAATGGTGTACATGTTAAATGAACATTATTGTACAATAAATTGTTACATTTATGAAAACCTGTTATTTTGAAAGTTTTGTTCACATTACACATTAAATTGACAAAAATCACTACTGAAAATTACAGGAAAAAGTAGGTTTACACACTATCACAGCAGTGAAAAATCTCAACTAGTTAATTTAGTGAACTGAATTTCACAACAAATGCCCTAATTTAATGTAAAATGTATGTATAGCAGTACAAGTTCACAGTTGCTCTTGTAATTTCACTCACATTTGTAAACATTGCTACTGTAATCTTACAGGGATAGCTGTAAAAAAAAAAACATCATTTTACAGCATATTTATACAGTGGTGTGCTGTATTTTTTACAGTACAATTGTAATTATTGATTTTCATACTCTTGTAAATTTACGGTCTTACTGGCAACCAAAATTACCAGTAAGTTACTGTAAATTTTACAGTAAATTTTTTACAGTGTAGACAAACTAATCAGAATAAAATAGGCCAGTGAATTCAGAATGCAGACATGTCATGATAATGCGGGCTCATTTTGTCACCACTAGACATCTCACTCACATGTACACAAACACTTCTGAAGAGAGACTGCAGTGTGCTCCGAGTCAGTTTGCTTTGGCTGAGAATCAAATCGACCATCATCACCTTGGCAAACAATTCCTGGAATCCTGAATAAATTATTCATCTGAACAAGTTCCCTCCCTGCTGCCTGTCTCAACCCCCCTCCTCGCTCTCTCTCTCTCACCCTCTAAGGCCACAGACTGAGCTTCTGTATTTCTTTTACAGGTGAATCCATGACCCCAAGCAAATGGATGTTATCAGTCGTAAGGGAAGTTGTCTTTGGCCCATGTTCAGAGGCATTTGTTGAGGGCCTGGCAGCATTGTTTGCGACCTATTACAACTTAAACCTTGCTTATCAGGATGAAGCTGCATGCACCCTCGAAATTATTCAGAGGTATGTCAGAACATAAACTCTTACTTAATATTTATTGTAGACATCCAAATTTCCATTAATTTTTTTAGGTTTACAGGTTTGGACGGCTTATCAGGATTAGATGTTTTTTGGAAAAGTTTTCAAACAGCAAAAAAATGCTGACTGCACACTGAATTGAGTACATACAACCAAAGTCCAGCAAAAATATTTTATAAAAAAATCTAGTACAAAATATGCAAACAAATATAAAACTATACAAACAAAAATAAAATTATTAGAAAAAATAATAACGAAAATAACAGGAAAAACGGGCATATAAATAACAAAAATAAAAAGTCAATATAATAAGATAAATAAAAGAAATAATAATTATATAATTTAATAAAACAAATTATTTCTCACCTTTTTGCAGCATGTCGCAGCCATAAATCAATTTGTTTTCAATAAATACAATTAACTTGGTCAGTGAAACTATTGGAAATATTTTCTTTGGCCCTAACTCTTCAATAAATGAAATAAGGAAAATGTGATTTTTAAAATGACACTTAAAATAATTATATTCTTTGAGTATATGCAGTTTTTATTTTTATTTTATTAAATCTGATGTGTTTTTTTTCACAGAGGAATTGTGGGCATTAACCTGGAAACTGGATCAAAAGTTGCTGGAAAGAGAGACAAAAAAATGAAAGTAATGAACCCACATGCATGCACACTGCTGCGGAAGCTAGTGGACTTTGAATGGCTTGCCATTTAAAAGAAAAAAAGTGTTCCAATGGAATAGTTAATGTACATGCAATGTCTTGCCTCTTCATGGATTTGGCAATTTAAAGGTAGGCACAGTTCAGACCCTTTCTTTTGTGTTTATTTAAACTAAGTTTATGAATGAAGTTCAGTCCCACTGTAGGGATGTTTTTTTTTCTTTTTTCCCCCCCAAGGCTAAAGCCTTTGGTTTAATGTGCAATCTCCATTTTTGTGTCTCCAAATATGATTTGGAAAATGGTGTACATGTTAAATGAACATTATTGTACAATAAATTGTTACATTTATGAAAACCTGTTATTTTGAAAGTTTTGTTCACATTACACATTAAATTGACAAAAATCACTACTGAAAATTACAGGAAAAAGTAGGTTTACACACTATCACAGCAGTGAAAAATCTCAACTAGTTAATTTAGTGAACTGAATTTCACAACAAATGCCCTAATTTAATGTAAAATGTATGTATAGCAGTACAAGTTCACAGTTGCTCTTGTAATTTCACTCACATTTGTAAACATTGCTACTGTAATCTTACAGGGATAGCTGTAAAAAAAAAACAGCATAAATATTTTTACAGCATATTTATACAGCGGTGTGCTGTATTTTTACAGTACAATTGTAATGATTGATTTACAGTACTCTTGTAAATTTACAGTCTTACTGGCAACCAAAATTGCCAGTAAGTTACTGTAAATTTTACAGTAAATTTTTTACAGTGTAGACAAACTAATCAGAATAAAATAGGCCAGTGAATTCAGAATGCAGACATGTCATGATAATGCGGGCTCATTTTGTCACCACTAGACATCTCACTCACATGTACACAAACACTTCTGAAGAGAGACTGCAGTGTGCTCCGAGTCAGTTTGCTTTGGCTGAGAATCAAATCGACCATCATCACCTTGGCAAACAATTCCTGGAATCCTGAATAAATTATTCATCTGAACAAGTTCCCTCCCTGCTGCCTGTCTCAACCCCCCTCCTCGCTCTCTCTCTCTCACCCTCTAAGGCCACAGACTGAGCTTAACTTAATGAATCTGGCTTAGTGTGCACACACACACACAGAACTGACCAAATATGGCTACACCAATGATAACACACACACACACACACACACACACACTAGTTCTGCATTCATTCAACAGCGAGTACTTCAGGACAAAATGAGGAAGAAAATGAAGACAGAGGGAACTGTGTTAAACACAAGAGGGACAGCAGATCAGGGACCTCAGAGGCTCAGTAATTAAAGGGCTACATTGACAAGCACAGCCGCCCACTTCCTGCCCCCACACGGCCAGCCCTCCCACTCATGACCGTAAACTCACCATTCTGCCCAGAGGCTCTAACGTACCGCAAGATTAGCGCTGACCCTTGCACAATTATAAACTCTCAAGAATGTTTACATAAAACAGCTATTTAATAGTAATCCGAATCTGGTGGATCCTGAAAGCACATGACAAATCTGGCACCTAGATGCATTTTCTCTCCTTTCCCTTCTTTTCCCAAAGCACTACAGGAAGGGCAGACTATGTGTTATCAGACTGCTGTCATCACTTACTCCGGATAGAGCAGGGAGTCCATGCTCCGATGAATAATTCATGCGTTTGAGTCCACTCAGTCAGAGCTCTATTGATAAACAAAAGAGAGGCTCTGAAAAAAGCCAGTCGATTAACCTGTTTGCACAAAGCCCCTGCACCTTCCCTTCCTTTTCATTTTCTCTCCATCTCTCTCACAGCTGGAGATAAGTGCCTGACAGAACCTTTCAGAAAATGCAGTGTGTGTGAGCGAGAGACATGTGGCCCAGGCGCACACACACACACTTGGAGAAGCTGATGGATTGTGCATGCTGTTCAAATTCACCACCCTCACACTGATGCCATTAACCTTGTGAGGCCTCAGGGTGAGAACCATAAAGGACCTCCTTCAAACTGAGCCCTCATATGGCTATATATCATATCACTACTAATGACAGAGAGATAGAGAAATAGAGGAAACGTGAGTGTTGGCTGGTCTCTCTTTGAAAAAGCATTCATTTCATAACCTCCCTTGGTTACAAAACGCCAATCGATCACTTGCAGAAAAAAAAAAAAAAAACATACAGGCTGACAACAATTAGGACAGCCTGTGATGCCAAACATTCACATCAATTACTAAAAGAGGTTAAATAACACTTCCTGCTGGATGCAGCTGACCTAATGACCTTTATTTGGCTATTTTTTTGTTCTGTTGCGTGCAGACTCACTTTTTGCCACTCTTATTTATAGGGGCAGCATAGGAAACAAAGACAAGAAAAGGGAACAGAATCGGGAAATGGGTTCAAACTTGCACAAGCCAGATTCAAAAATGCACTAACCACTATGCCGGCAACCACCGTAATCAATTCAATCACATGTATAACTGCTCAAAACATATGCTTGCATGTTTTTGTGCATGCACCCCTTGCAGGTTCTTTGACAGATGAAAAAACAGCCTTTGTTGGACAATGTAGGGCTTTTAAGAAATGTAGTGCAGAGTAATGTCATTATCATCCTTCTAACCAGAAGAATGTCATGTCAGAAGACATGCAATAAAAATAATCATACAAATTAAACCTACACAATGCACATTGAAAAGAAATATGGCGTCCAAGTAGATCACATACCTGTTTATGCATTTCAATGTTCAGCCCATAGGACATCTCATAATACTGCAAGGGAAAAAAAAAAGGAGAAACGCATTTAACTCACAATAGTAAAATGCTTTTGACAGAGTATCATCTCTATACATCAAGCACCCTATTTATTTCACATACAAAAAAAGCATTCACAAAGTCAGGATAATTGCCTGATTATAGAAGTAGAGAGCAATGTTTATGAAACTCTGACAACATTTGTTTAGCGGTATTTACTTACTACTAAGCATTCATGGAAGCAGAGTTATCTCATACCAGTTACTAAACAGCAGTTACAAAACAAACAAACAAACTAGGCAAAGATAGACAAATATGTCTTCACTCACCCTTTCTACACAATTTTACATCTCTAAGAAACATTTATTTTCACTGAAAATTTCATTTCAGATCCATCATAAGCATCTCTGTCATTTCAAGATAAAAGTGCTTTTCTATACTCAAAATAGCCAATCAAACTATGCTCATCCTAACAACTACTGCAAACATTTTTTTTTCTCAGAGCATGTCTGTGTATTTCATTTAGTTTATCTGGTATTGGCCTTTTTACCACTCTGCATTCCTCCGAAAAATAATATTTAACAAAGGTGCCGGCATGTTCAGTCAATATCTACTGCATGTTCAAATAAGATAAGAGAGAGTAGAGCTTGGTTAATACTGTTCAACCTGTGCACTATTACATCACATCCTGATGGAATTAAGTTTCCACTCAGTGGACTTCTAATAAGAGGCGTTCAGCAATGCTAATATTAGTGTAATTCTTGAATTGCACACAAGGTTCAAAATTGAGTGAGACTGCAATCATCCTTAAGGTGGATTTAATTTCATTTGGGTCAGGCCTCTATATAATTCAAGAAAAACAAACTATACACACCTCCATTGAATTAATGCATACATTGTCTGATTTTTAATTGGTTGGCTGAGAAGATTGTTGTTTTTTTCACATTCACTGCACATTATCATCATAATTGTTTTATTTTACCTTGAAAACTTATTTACAATAGGCTGATCTCTTAAACACTGTTTGTTCAAAAAATTAAAATCCGATTAAACTGAGCACGCCTGCCTTTCTCTCACTTGAATAAAAAAAAAACATTTAGCCCTCGGGTCAGAGTGGATGGAACAAGCAGTAACTCCATGCCCTAAACAGCCTCCAGGCATTTTACAACAAATAAAAACACCCACACTCTTATAATCTCAAAGCTGATCCTTCAGTGCAATCAATGCAAATGTTTTATTTTACCTTGAAAACTTATTTACAATAGGCTGATCTCTTAAACACTGTTTGTTCCAAAAATTAAAATCCGATTAAACTGAGCACGCCTGCCTTTCTCTCACTTGAATAAAAAAAAACATTTAGCCCTCGGGTCAGAGTGGATGGAACAAGCAGTAACTCCATGCCCAAAACAGCCTCCAGGCATTTTACAACAAATAAAAACACCCACACTCTTATAATCTCAAAGCTGATCCTTCAGTGCAATCAATGCAAACGCTATCACATAATAAATAAGGGCAGTGGATACTAAGCACCAGCTCAGATAGCCGGCTGGTGGCCCTACTGATGTTTTCAAGGAACAAAAGAACAACAGATAGAAGACCTTAGATTAAAAACAAACCACATTTTGCTCTTACCATGACATAATGTCGCTGCATCTCTGTCTTCTCATTGGCCAGTTTGTCATACTCTACTTTAAGACTGTGAGGTGAGAGAAAGACCCAGAATGAGTTAACATTCCAGGCTGGCAAATTCGCAGGCAACTTATTGACATATAACAAAGTTATGCTAATTTATATGAAATTACAAATACAAATATGAAACTATAGTTTTAACAGCTACAGCATATAGTGATATATTAAGCAGTAACTCCATGCCCAAAACAGCCTCCAGGCATTTTACAACAAATAAAAACACCCACACTCTTATAATCTCAAAGCTGATCCTTCAGTGCAATCAATGCAAACGCTATCACATAATAAATAAGGGCAGTGGATACTAAGCACCAGCTCAGATAGCCGGCTGGTGGCCCTACTGATGTTTTCAAGGAACAAAAGAACAACAGATAGAAGACCTTAGATTAAAAACAAACCACATTTTGCTCTTACCATGACATAATGTCGCTGCATCTCTGTCTTCTCATTGGCCAGTTTGTCATACTCTACTTTAAGACTGTGAGGTGAGAGAAAGACCCAGAATGAGTTAACATTCCAGGCTGGCAAATTCGCTTAAAGAGCTCTATGTGGTCACATACACAGGCAACTTATTGACATATAACAAAGTTATGCTAATTTATATGAAATTACAAATACAAATATGAAACTATAGTTTTAACAGCTACAGCATATACTGATATATAACATACTATAATGTTGTTATAGCTACTATTCATCTGTTATGACAACAGCAACATTTAAGGTTGCACTGATGTTGCATTTGATTTACACACAATCAAAGTAGCATCAGAACCGCCTCACAGTCTAGTAACAGGTGTGAAATGAATCACACACATACATCAAACAGGTCATGAACAGCGATATTTACCTGTGGTACTGAGCTTGAAGGAACTGGAATTCATCTTTGATCCTGTCACAAGATTCTGCTACAGTGAATTTGAAGCCAGGCTGACCAGGCTGGTGAGGTGCCTGAAAAATCATATCAATAATTCATGTGAACTGCTGCAAAGCATAAACTTCACATTATCAATATAATCCAACCTAGTCACTGATGCAGTATGCTTTTACACGAACAGTGTTTTTTTTAGCATGTCATTGTACCTTTGACTTCCTACCACCATTACCAAAACAACCTACGACCTGCTCCATTACTCCTTTTACGGCAGTCCATAGGTCTCAGGGTTTGCTTTCGCTGTGTTTTCGAAGTCATGGGTATAACCACGGGTGTCAACAACACATTTCATGCTTCCCGATTTTCAGGGAAATGATATTTCATCGGAGCTGAATTGCGGTTAGTCAGAAGTGCCCAGGCGCTCCCTCGAGCTCTGCCTGTCGGTGGTTTTGAGACTCTAGTGGGAACAGCCTCCAACACTCGGGTCACTGCGTCTAAACAGCCCCGGAGAAAAACTAGCAGCTGATTCCCCTCCTTTCATTCCCCCCCCCCCCAAGACATTTTTCCACTTTAAAGTCAAATGAAGATGCACTACTGTTCAAAAGCAAGTCAACGGACGTCCAGCAGAGCACATCCTTGTTTAGTTTGAGCAGAAATAAAGGACACCCCGCGCGAGCTCAACGGCCGAAAGATAACGCGCTCTGGCGCTGAGTTGCCTGGACACAATGCATCAATATAATTTATGGTACTCACCGGATGCCGGCCCTGCGGATACATCTTGAATGTATCCTTTCTGATGTGAAGGTCCAGGGGTTGTGGCGCTCTTCAGTAATCCGAGTAGATGAGCGAGAACCCACTCGCGGACACACAAAGCCCAGTCCGTCCACCCGATCCACGCGCTTCTCGCACTCCTTACACCCGATTTAACCCCTTTATCCTTCACACAGCCGAGGAGCAAGACAAAAACACAGCGCGTTGGCTCATTATCTCCAGTAAGAGTCAAGCATTCAGCTGCGCTTGTGCTGTAAACACAGAATAGTTGTGCAGAGCGAGTCAAACACACATTTGCTGTTTGTCATCTGCGCTGCGACTAACAAGCTGCTTACGAGTCTTCTCGCAATAACAAGATTACCCGACTGCTGTTTGCTTGAATGTAACCCGACAAGATTACAGAACAATGTAAAAACAATAGATACATAAAACAACAGAACCCCCGTCAACTTCGCAATTCCTCGATAAATGGGTCAAAAAATGATACACTTATTCTGTTCAGCACAATGTCGAGCCTCGAAGTGTAGACGACAAAAGCAGCTTTGCAAATTACAAAACGGGAACGGAGAAAATAAAGCACGTAAAGTGCTCAATTGCCAAATAAACAGTCTAAACTACAAGTAGATTATTTTTTAAAGTTATCTTCCGCGTTACCTTTAGTCTCCATAAAATCTTTTCCCGCGAATGTAAATACAGCAATAATTCCTTGCACCGAGGAAATGTCGAAGTCCTCCACTCGTGACCTTATACGAGCAGTATTAGGCGCTGGTTGCGAATCAATCCCAACCCTAGAAAAGCAGCGCCTACAGTCGCTTCGAGAATGTTTTCCTCAGTTAAGACTTCAGACTTCAGGTTCTCGCTTGGACACAATTCGCAGTATTCCCGTTGTTGGTAAACTCTCCCAATCCCTATTTGCGTGTTTGCTTAAAAATGTCTGATTGTGAAAAGTTTGCCTCGTACGTGCCAACCGCTCGCATTGCCTAGTTTCTCCAACACTCGCAGTACCACACACAGACTGCCCACTGACACGCGGGCTCAACTACCGCGAGAACAACCTATAGCGCGACCAATCAAATCTCGAACGGGACTTCGCCGCCTCCGACCAATCAAACGTGGGATCCCCCACGTGGGGCGCGTCTGTTCCGCGCGTGCTGATTGGCCAACACAAATCTGACCTTCTGTTCGCCATCTTGGCTCTAAATAGGTTGCTTTCCCCGTAGACAAACAACTTACATGAGCGACGATTGTTCGAAGGCCAGCCACAAACCGAAATCTCAAGAGATAACTGTATCCTAAGAAATACATATTATAAGCGAAATCGTCTGTTGCGCTTCTGTTCCCTGATTTAGGAGCACGGCTGCTGTTGTTTCAACGGAAAGCAGTTGAAAGTTGCATCAAATCTGGTTATGCTTGCTTTGACGTTTCATAAACTATGTTCTAACGGCATGTTTTGATTACACTGCGAATTCGTCACTGATTTAAAATAATATGTGAACAACTGATCGCTGAATTGAGCCAAAACATCCTTCACATGTCCCGGTTTGTCCTTTCCAAGGACGCCCCTAACATGGACATCACAGTGATGCGAGAGAGTACCCTATAGCCAATGTATAGTTAGGCTACCGATTTTGACTGTAACTCAAATTAATAGCATAATATGTGAAATCAGCCCTCATTACTTGATTCACGCTGTCTGCTCAGCAACACCCTCCATGCCCATGTCTGCGCCATAAAAAAAAAAGCCCCAACCTATCATGTGTTGCTCAGACCCACGTGGGGCGCAGCTCCTTGTTCTGCGCGTGCTGACCAATCAGAGCACTGGCGTGCATCTGATTGGCTTAGAGCAACACGGGATGTCAGCGCGAGACCTAAGTTGTCAATCAAGCCCACGAGGGGTAGAGCGCTGACAAATGCCTGTGCCTCTCAGCCTCCCGCCTGCGAATAGTGCTTGGAATGGCTGCTTAATTAGCTTCGAATGGCTTTTCCTTCCAGCTCAAACAATCTGTCACTACCATGTGGTAAAAAGAGCCCTGCGTAAAACAAAAGAGGGAAAAGCTAGTAGGGGCTAAATATCAGTTTGATTTTTTTTCCTATGTATGCAAGTCGCATTACCACAAAACAAAACATTTATTCCACTCAAAGGCTGGTTCATCGTAACCAACTATTTCTGGCTTTATTTGTTCACCAAATAGGGGTGTAATCTGATATGCTTAATAATGCTCTGTGCTCTTTTTTTTTATATAATTTAAAAAATAATATTATAGACATTTGCTGTATAAAACAGTAATCTGGGATACCTGAACATGTTATGTACTTTTAAACGAACTAATTGGACACTTTTAAGATGTTTGCACTCAGGGGACTACAGGGCCATTTCAATACAAATATCTGAAAAAAAAAGGCCAACCATTGTTTGATTAAACTGTAAACTTTTGTCCATCCCTTTTGGGAGGGTTATTGGCTGGAACAAATGTCTGGAATGGAAGCAATGATGGAGCATGGAGTCATTATGAGAGCTATTATTGACATACTACTGCTCTAACATTTAAGATAACTCAATTTTGTCAGTGCACAAATGTGATATTGATTCTTTCTCCTGGAATTACAAAACTGTTTGAAATGCTAAACTGGGTTAATGGCAGACATGCTTCTATGAACAGTAAGCTCTCTGCAAGCTACTTGTGTACCATTGGTGTGTGCAGAGATAATAGAGATTTCCAGCTTGCTCAGTGACCCGTCACAAAAACGTTCTGTATAATACAACAAAAGTGTGACTCAATGACTTTTCAACCCACAGACAAGGACTACCATAGTAGTGTCAAGTCTATTCTGATGACCATAGTAACAGCTGAAGATGACAGACTGCACTCCACCCCTCTTTTCAAATGACTGCCTGGGCTATAAAACCAGGTATTTGCCATATACCTGCAACAGTTTAATTTCAGCACAGATTTATGTGTTGCTATATAACCATTGCTAGAGGTTGAAACTGATTTAGCTGTAATTATGGAGAGGAAACACAAAACAGTTTCCTATCCAAGTGCCTGTTCATTCGCACCATTGTTCTGACAAACACGCTTTGTATTTTCATGCTAATGCAGCTCCAAATGATAGCTGGCAAGATTATCCTCAATACGTGAAAAATGCTTCTTTCTCAGTCTCTGCCTGCCTGTTTTTTCATGCATGCAACCTTCCGCTACCTACCTCTCTCTTCTTTGCTTGATTTCCCTGGTAGTGGAGCAGAAAACTAGGTCCGACTCTGCATGGCATGCATGTATTGTGTGGCGCCTCTGTCTCTGGATTATTGACGTGCTTTCATACGTGGGATTGGGGCCTGAAAAGAGACATTCCTGCTTACAATAGCTTCAGTGTGCAGCGCTAGGCTGAATGGGCCATGGTGTATCAGAGAGACTTGTCAGGCTGTAATCAATGCAAACAGGATGAAAAGCCTTATCAAAAGAGACAAACGCAGACATGAGCACTGTCGCCAAATGAAAACAAGAGTAAGAAAGATGGAGGCTTTGGCAGTTGGCCCTGGCCTGTTGTATGTGGAGTAAGTGTGTGTAAGAACAAGGGAGAGAAATTGAGGCAAATTCTCATTCTGTTCCAGTATAAGTAATATCTTCAGTACAGGAGCCGTGGCGTGACTGTGCTGACTCACACACCGCTCGCAGGAATAGCATATATTAGATGCTAATGTGCAGGTAATGGATGATATATATCCATATAAAAGGACTCGGTGCTTGTGGATCCGTGAGTGTTAATCCAACACTTTGATTTGGGAGCTGCCAGAGATGATGGGTAAAGAAAAGCTTCTCTTTAGGGATTCTCCTCCCAATCCAATCTGCATCTGTACTGATGGATTCACTATAATCTCACCATAAAGAAGAAAGGGATTCCACGCAGGAACCTGTGGCACATAAGCCTGTTGAGATCTCAGCTGGCTGTCACAGTGTGCATGACTGTGTATAAGCCTGTTTTGAGCACAGCCGAGTGTGTGTGTGTGTTTGGAGAGGGTGTTATATGTTCATAAGCCTGTTTGGGACACAGCTGCCTATCACAGCTATTTGAAAAGCTCCGGGGGTAAGCCATAGGGGCATGAGAGCTCTCTTGAAAAAACTTGGCAGCCATATACTTTACTGAGTTTTTCTCCATGTTGTCTAAGGAATCAATAGCTGTGTCCACTCTTAGGTTCAGAGACAGGTTAAATACACATTTAAAGAGAATCTGGATTATTTTCTGAGGGTCAAAACATTTATGGGGCCTCTTTGTGTATGTTAGACTCTCAGTAAAAATGGAGTAATTGAGAACATTTTAGGATCTAGAAGAGTCTGACGTTTCACTGGTTTTTGGAGAAGGAATGCTGTTTTTCCTCTAAATGTTCACATGAACTGTACATTAATTAGTAACCACCACTGTGGAATTAGCAGTATGACACAAGCAGCACTAATGCTTTTATACAACCGCTCAATAAACAAAAAGCTAATATCTAGTATTATAGAGATACTATTTGTTTTTATATTTAAAATATCAATTTAAAGTTTAGTCAAAGTTTTAATAATTTTGTTGTGTTTGTCATTTTTATTAGGGTTTTTTTCCAAATATATCTATTGTTTAAAAAAAACATTACTTCAGTTTTATTTTCAGTTATTTTAGTACATCAAGATAAACTAAATGAAAATGAGAAATGTTGCCTAGTTACACTAAAATAAGTTTTATTTTATAACAAAATTAATAACAATAAACTAAATAATAAACAAGTCAATTTTTTAATATTTTATTTTATTTTAACTTTTTTTATTTCAAGTAACAGTTTTTTAATGGGTTTAGGTATTCGCCCTGATATAAGGTAACTTAGATTTTATAGACAGTATTGCCAGTTATTTTGTCTGTTTTTGCTCCGCCCAACGAAGACAGAGAAGCCACTGTTTGCATCTCTAAGCAACATACAGTAGTGGCCTTATTGAATGAATGTGTGAGTGATTCGGTTGAGTGACAGATTTAATGACTCACTCGTAAACATTGTCACTTGTTTCATTCCTGAAAGAATCAGTGCATTTGAACGAATTGGTTGAATGAATGAATCAGTGACTCACTCATAAAGACAGTTACTTTTCGCCACCTACTGGTGTATGGATGTGACCTGCAAAAAGAGTCACTCTAAAATCCCCACCCCTAATGCACAGAGTGCCAGTTTGTATGGAAGGAACAAACACACACACAAGCGGAGAGATGTTGCTGCTGGATGGTTATATCATTATTTGTGGAACACTGCTAAATGATATTATATTATCTTTGATCATTTGCTAATATGTATGTTTTATATTTTTTACATTTAAAATAAAACAGTAAACCCAATAGATGTTTTTTAGGTGCAGTTGCACTTTGGGAGAAACAGCATTAGAGTGACACAAAAAGAAGCGAGAGAGTCTGGAGTTCTTCAGAGGGGTGCAGTTATTTTTGGTGATTGAGACATAAGTGGATAGGACGAAAAGTCAAGCACCTCCTCAACACCGCCAGTCTCTGTAGTGCCAACCAAGCTATCATCTGACAGTGAGAACAGTGGATGAGAGGAAATATAGCTGACTCTACACCTACACACACAAACACCCACAGATACACTTGTTCATGCTCACTAGCTGTGGAGTGGCTCTACTGAACACTCTCTCACATGGTACCTTTCATCAAAAAGTACCTTTTTACAACTGTTTAATGAGAAACGCATTTTTTTAAAAATTCCATCCATAACTGATGAGACAGTAAATGTGGGGGTTTTGTATGATGGAAATCTGTATCTTTTGTTCTCGGCCTCTTTCAGACGTTGTGTGAACAATTCAACAAATCTCAAGCACTCAAAATTTCCCTGGGGGATATATTGTTCTCTGAGGACGATTTCATGTAACTATTCCCTATCCAGTGACACACACGCACATACACACCTGTCTAAAATGCAGTATTGTAGGAGGCCCAGTGTAAAACAAAGTTTACCACCTCAGATCAGGTCTTATGGGAACCACACAACAAAGAGCAGTAGTCCAGCCCAGCCCTGAGGGTCTCATTAGCATGACACAGCTGTGATCAGGTTAGCACACCCAATCTGTCCATGCTATCAGACCCCAACACAACAACATTAGTGGAAATAAATTTAAAAGGAACCTGCATTAAAGATGCTAGTGTTTTTCTTTTCAAACATTGTAATTAAAGGTATTTTTATAGTTAGAGTTGTTATAGTCAATTAGGGTCTGTTGTAAGGTATGGGATACCTCTTGTGATAGAAATGGCACAAACACAAAACACTTCCTGATAATAATAATAATAGTCATCATTATTGTTATTATTATTATTATTATTATACAAATGTATCAAACATAATTTACAGTTAAGAACACAATAGTTCTTTGACAATGGTTTTTACAAAACAACTTTTTTTATTATTAGTTCTTCAGTGGCCAGAGGTCTGTACAGTATAGGAGTTTTAGTTTAAGACCAAAAACTAAACTGTAGTCCAGCCCAGCCCTGAGGGTCTCATTAGCATGACACAGCTGTG